ATACAATAAACGTTAAACTACGAAAAAACACTTATGTATTAAGTTTGTTAGTTATTGACATATTATAAGTTAAAGATTTAGGTAAGTTTCGAGTTTTATCTAAGCCTTGTACAACATTTGTTTATTACAYATTTTAATTATATAACACCTCAGGATAGATAAAATTAAATTTTCGACTTCATTTTAGAACAATGTTTGTTATGCATAYGTAATAAAATAACTAAGAGCTAATAATGTTATTACTTATTAAATACGTTAAACTGAGATGAATATTACCTTGTACAGATTCAAGTGCAGGTTCCTGTGGAACATTTGTATATTCAAGTACTCTTTCAACAGATGTCATCTGATTATCTAATTGTGCAAATTGTCGTATTCCCCACTGGAGTGAACCCGTCAAACTCATTGCTTGAGTTATAACTAGTCCAACATCTCCCCCAAAAGCATCTAAAATATAAGTAAACATTTTATTCCAAATCATTTTTAAATTATAATTAATTTATTACCATTTTTGACAACTAAAAAACTAAATGTTAAAATACTAATATATGCAAGGCAAATCATATCCAACGCGAAACCTAAAGCTTCAGTAGATGAGATAAAAATATACCAAGCCGAAGAATGTAAATCCTAAAAATTTAAATAATGTATAAATATCTTATTTTAATGTTATACACAAAGTTGTTTTCCTTACTTGATGGCCATCGAATTCTCTAGATAAAATTTCTTCGGCATCAAATGCTCTTATTGTTGATAAACCTTGAAGTGATGCGTTCAAATATCCTAATACGGGACTTCGTGCTAAATATTTAATAATTCACAATTAAAACAAACTTCACGATAAATTTTTTATAAATTATAAATTTATTCACTATCAAGTCTCAATAACTTAAGTTTCAATGTGGTGTATAAATATAATTTCGATAAGTTATATAATTTCAAWAGACAAGGAATAAATCCGGACTCTGGATTCCATAGATTACCAAGATTTTAGAATTATTGAGAATCGACTGTATTTTGAAATATACATTTCTGCACTTACAGATTCCCTCCAAACGTTTGATGCTACGTGATGTAGATAAATAATATACTACTGTGTAATAAAACAATATCCCAATGAAGAATGTGGGTATAAGAAGGTAAACATTTACTATTCCGACCACAACTATAATTCCAATAAGTGATAATGAATTCTAGTTTAAAACAGTGAAAATAAAAATAATTATATTTTAATACAATAAATAATTTGCGCAAACATATTTCTAAGTCATTTTTGCACA